TATTTACTAAAAGTTTTAAAATATGTTTTTATTTTGTTTGCTATATTGAGTATTTATATTAAGAAACTTTTCTTATAATTATTACTGATAGTATCTTTAATAAAAAGATTTATTAATTTTTAATATGTTATTTGTACTTGCTTAAATATAATAAAAGTAGATTTATATAAATAATTATAGTTATTTAATTTATTTACAAAGTTAATAATTTGATTTTTGAATTATATTTCCTAATGCTTTTATTTTATAAAAAAATTTATAATATATAACAGAATTGAAAGTTGTTTTTATTATATAAGCTACTTACTGTAATGGTATAATGGTTACTAACTCTAGCAAAAATTCACATAACTGTTACTGAATAAATGAATAAAAGGATTATTTGAGATGTGTTTTTGATTTGGTTGAGTTTTTATTAATTTCTACTTTCTAGTTTCATGATTCTTTCTTTATATTTTATATTCTTTTATACTTTATATTTGGCTATAGCAGCTTAGATATAATAATAATTAATAATACAGCAATATGGCTAAAGCTAAATTATATAATTCTTTTCATAATTCTTTTTGTCCTTCCTTTATTACCTAATTATCACAGCCAACTTTCTATTGTCATATTAATCAGTTATATAACTAACATCACATCACATTTCTCTTTATTATATTACTTTAGTATTTTTTTTAATTAAGTTAAAAAGTGATTAACTATATATATGTTAATTGAATTATACAGTATTATATTCTGTATTTTATTTTAAAATAAGATATTATTAATGATACATTATATTTATATATTTATTTGTGATTAGTTATTTCTTCAAGTTCAGTAAAATTCTTTATACTTTTTATTAAAATTTATTAATTAATTTTTTTTTTTTTTTAGCCTCTAATCAAACTACAAATAAAAGTATTTATTAATCCAATTTTTGAAGAACAGTAATACAATATACATAATATTATACTAAAGTTAAACTAGCATAATTTTGCAAAACATCTGTCAATGAATTTAAATTTGTATGTGATCTTTGAATCCTTAATATCGAGATCACCATATTGTCCACATAATTTAATTATTTGCTAACTATCTCATTACAAGAGAGTAGGTTTATTAAGCTATTACTGTGTAATATTAACTATCTTAGACTTTCTAAATCTAAACTCTCTAGATGTGATTATAGAGAATGATAATATTGTTCCTTTTCAAGACAAGGTATCAAAAGTCTATATTTTGAAAAATTATTGCCAGCCTACATTCAGACTGTTACTTCCAAATGAACCTGTGATTCTAAAAGGTAAAAAAAATTTATTTTTTTAGAAAAAAAAGAAGAGAATAAAAAAGGTAGTTGAAAAGTTTGTTTTGATAAATAAACCCTTCAATATCAATTTCAATCTATTGGGATAAATTCTTTATTACCACCTGCAGTTGGGCAAACCATTTAATTTCCACTATTCTATTGCTGACCAAGAACATTCAAGATACTTATAACAAGTTTTATACCCATTAGAAATTATTGCTTGAAACAAGACTTATACCTTAAGGAATTATTGCTTAATACCTTTTCAGGATAATCAACAGTAGAAGAAGCTTATTACTGAATTGAAAGAAGACTTCTTTTGATTTTAAAAAGAAAAGAAACCAGTTCAAGAGGAGAGAGGGAAATAATTAAATCACTTCTATTCAAGAGAACACTACAACGCCTTGCTCTTTAGCTTTTTCTAATTATATTATTGTTGTTGTGTTGTATAACAGGAAACATATAAGGAGTATGTGTCTTGTTTATTTTTTTGCTACGTGTTGATCAGCCAGTTTAAAATCTTGACCAATCATCAACTGGAGATTCTGGTGTAATGAAAAATTTAGGATCAAACTGAGGTAGGCAAAATTCCTTGAAAATTTTTGAAAATTTGTTGACACATTTGAGAGGACTACTATAGATATTTTATTGATGGAGAGGATCACATGTCTATATCCATAGACCAGAACACTAGCTTATTTACCCATTTTCAATAACAAAGAAGTTCACTTATAATGGATCCAAGGTTCTTATAAAGCTTGGGAAATACATTCACTAATAGATTCTTCTAAAATTCCAGACCTTGAGGAAGAATAGAGGAGGGTATTTTTTCAACAAGTTTTTTCTTTCCAGTAAGATGTTCTTGCTGTAAACCAAATGAATGAGTTTTAGATATTCTGTTACTAAAATATCTAATGCATTTTAAAAAAGAAAAGGTAAACAAGTGGAGAAGGCTGTTGCTTTCAAGAATATATATTATTAAAGAAAGTATTTAAACTTTATTATTGAAAAATAAAAAATCTTTCAAGAACGTCTGTTTTTGGGGGTTGGCAAAAGAATCAATGGGAAGAGTTTCATTCAAAACTTATTTTATTAATTAAATTTTTTATTTGATCTTTGTTATTTAATTATATATTTAGAAATTTTAAATGACTTCTATAATCTAGTTTCTTAATTTCTTCTTATTTAATTTTCAAATAAGATTTCTAATAATACTACTTTAATATTACTTTAATACTAATTCAATATTTATATTTATTATAAATTTATATAAATAAGTCACAATCTATATATGAAATTTATTATAAATCAATATTAGTTCAATATCATTTTAATATTAGTTTAATACTTTTTAAAGTTCTATTTTTAAATAAATTATTTTAAGATTTATATTTTTATTATTAATTTGAAAATTATCTGTTATATAGAACTATTTGATTTTTTTGAAAATAAGTTTTATATCTATTTGAGATTTAACTATTTATATTATATTATTTATATAAACAATTGTTATCTATCTTAATAATAGATTTCTTGACTTATAAAACATTTATATTTGTCTTTGTTATTTTAAAATATAAACTATTAGTTGGTTTAAATAAGTTTAGTTTTGTTGAAACTTAATATATCTATTTAATTTTTTCAAATTTCTTGAATTAATATTTCTTAATTTATTATATATATAATACTTCTGATATTATAAGTTCTTATTTATATTAAATTATTATTAAAATCAAATAGAATTTTTTTGAATTAGTATTGTAAGAATTAGTATTTTGATTATTTAAAAATAGTTTTTTTTATTTATATAGAAATAGAAATATATCAATATCTAATTGTTAATTATATATATAATTTTAAAAGAGTTTTAAATTAAAAATATCTGAAATATAAGTTTATAAGAGATTAAATACTGAATATTTTATTTAAAGTAGATTTTTTGATAATTTATTTTCTTCAATATTGGATTTGTATTAAATTAATATGGCTTTTTAAAAGAAGTAATAAAGTTTCTTATTATTTTTTTTATTTTTTAATTTTGTTAATCTAGTACTAATAATTTTTAACATTATATAAATGATATTTTATAAGTTTTATACTTTTGATATATTATGTTTAAATACTATTGGTTCAATTGTAAATTGTTTATTATTTTTTTTTTATTTCTAGTTTTTTTTTTGAAATTTTCTCAATCGACAATATTCCTTTTACTATAATGGGTAAAAAAGTCGTGTCATTACCAATCGAATTAGTCCTCGAGATATTCTCCCATGTGCCGACGAGGCAACTCTGTAAATTCATGACTCTCTCAAAAACCTTTGATTACGAGATAAGGAAAATCTTTATTGCAAGATTCAACTCCATCTTTTGGAATTCACATAGGAGATTACTGGTAATTATCGCTTTCCGTTGTTTGAAAATCAATCTCATCTTGTCCTTCCCGAATGCCCTTCTTATTTCTCTCTGTCGCTCAATTAAAAGGTCTTGATGACAAGATATCTCCTAGACTTTGTTCCGGTACATAATGTCTTCGATCTAACATTCAGTAGATTTGACACTTCGACCCTTATGGCCACCTTTTACCTAGATCCTTCCCAGCCCTCAAACACCGTAGGTCCAAACCATTCTAAGTTATGGGGACTAAAACTTCGAGGCGACGGAATACTTCGAGACAATATGCTAAACGAACCGCTAATGTACACCAATTGGGATTGTCCGACGGAAACTCACGATTCTCGAATCTATGTATTTGACTCAGAGACCGATAAGGAGCATCCATTTCTCAAATCGTTCTTCGTCACACGTGGCCAACTGAAAGTCCCAACCGGTGAATGCGGAAAGACCAACGGGTTGTGGGAAAGTTCGATCATGGGAAAGAATAAACATAAATCTTCACAAGCCAAATTTGTGGGTAAGAATGAGTTGAAAGAAGACGGCTCGAATTTGCAAACGGTGTTGGGCATGTTGAATGAAGTTAACATAAAGGCCACGATGTTATTAGCATCGATTGAGGAACAGACGAAAGACCGATGTATCGGGGGCATAAGATTTCTGGTATTGGAAGGTGGGGAAGAATTCTTGAAAAGAAAAAAGTGTTGCACTATTTCATAGGCCTTCATAAGGCAGTAAAATCCTTTCTCCAACGACGAAAGCCTGTATAATATTATATAATAGAAAATTTAATTATTAAGCTACCTATCGAGCATTCCCTGGAGGACATGATTTGTATAGTAAAAAATAATTTTTATGATTTCGCACTTCAATTAATATAAACTAGCAATTGGATGTAAAGTGAAACAATGGTTATACCATTTTTCTTTCAAAAAAATAATAATAAATAGATAACTGAACCAAGTTATCAACCAAAACTTTTATTCCACAGATTTAAATTTAATGATCATTTACTTTTACCCCTCTTACGGGTAGGTGTTTATGCAACCATACGTATGCAGTATGATTATAAGGAACCGTTTTTAATGTAACGTTTTTTTCTTCGGTATATAGATCCCAGAGTTTAATGATTCCGGGATATGTGTACCATATCGTTCATTGTCACGATTGAGTAGGAATGAGATAAAAAGTTCCTCACATAAAAATAGAAGCAAACGCTGCTTAAAATTACCACCTGCCTGCAAATTTCAACAATCGCGGAACCATATTAATAAAACAATGACTATTAATTTTATTAATATTACCACAAGAACTTAATTTAAAAAATAAATCAATTAGTTAAATATAGCGTTTGTATGTACGTCTCCATTTTGAATCGATATGCTCTAAGTAGTATGTCCCCTTAAAAAGTGCGTCCTTGATTGGGCTTCCATCGCCTGTGACTTTGAAGTCTTTTTTACCGTGGGTTTTTTCTCGTAAGTGCAATGTCTCAACAAATTTTTCTGGAGGCACCTCTACGCGAGATTCAAGACGACTTGATATATCCAGCACTTTATGAATCTCGGTAATGGGTTTTATAATTCTGAACGAGAAAAGTGTGGACGCAAGACCAGAACCGTACGAAAATAATCCTAGCCGTTTTCCTACCTAGTAATTCCATTTAATGTTAGTACACAAAAAGTGAAAGTCAGAAAATCAATTCGATTACAACATATACCAATTCATCTACAGGAATATTTGACAACGCGCTTGCAAGACAAGCATATAATGAGGCACAATACATGTTTCCGACTTGCGTTGAGGCCAAAAGGGTAGGTGCTACTTTCTTTGCATAATCAGCCTTTGAAATAGCAATGAAAGCTTTCTCGACATCTTTTGATCGTAAAGCTTCTTCGGCATTCATATCCTATTTAAATAATGAAATTGATTTAATTCGCCAATCATTACAAATGATTATCTAAATTTAAGAAGTATGGATTACCCGGAATTGCTGAACGCTATTGAAAATCGGGTTTTCAGGATTGCGAATAAAATCATTATAAAACAATCTGCCAAAAGACTTTTGGACGAGTTTGCAGTACGGCGCATGAAAAAGGAAGTAATCAAATGCTTTCAAGTCCGGATTTCTTACGCCTTCCCTTTTTTTTTTTTTTTCCAAAAAAACTATGAACTAGATA